TCTTCATGAAAGGGGGCAGCAGCCCTGGATGAGGGCAGAGAAGGAGCACAGGTAACAGGGCGCAGGATGTTCAGCACCCTTTGCATGCTCTGAATTTGCAGGGACAGCCCCTTGTCCTTCAGCAGAAAAAGTTGGGATATGGTGGTGGATGAGGAGATGTGCCCTGTTTGCTCCTAGGGCAATACTGCCAGGGGACGGCCCTTGCTGCAAGCTCAGCTGCTTTTGGAAGTACTCCTTCCCCATTTAGGAAAGCGTAGAAAGGCCAGAGATGAGAGAAGAAAGTAAATGACTAACTGGGACTTTCTCCGTTCTCCTGGAAACAGGATTGACCTGCTTCTCTTTGTGGTACAGCAGAGACTGTATGAAAAGACAAGTGACGACTGCAAAAAGACAAAGCTTCTATTTCTTTTTGTTTTTTTTCTGGGTCCCTGACTAAATAGGTGACACTCAGTTCTACCTCCTTTCAGCAAAATTCTGTCCCACATAGAGTAGTCTCTGGGGATGATTGTTCATTAGGTTTGTTCATTAAACACTCTTTTACAACTTTTTCTTACAGTAGGTAGACATATGAACTGAGCTATGGAGCACATCTACAGGTAAAGAGTGTCCATGCACATATTTTGTGGTAGTAAAATGTTTGCTTTGGGTTTATAACTGTAAACTTTTTTTTTTTAATAATTGCAATGTTCTTTAGGTCTATATGTTTCTGTAGATTTTTCATGAGAAAGATTATAAAAGGCAATTCAATAAAACATCTGAAGGGAGATGGGGCAAAAGAAGGAATTTCTGCTTTAACACTGAGAATGGCTAATTCTGTATCAGGATCAAACAAATTTGAAATTTTCTATGAAAGGGAGTGAGTGGGAAGCAGAACAAAATTTCTTTTTAGAAAAAGCCTTGGTATTTTCTAAATCAGTTTGTCAAACCTTCCCACAATGTCTCATGCTGCAGCTGCTTCTTTCTTGGGACCCAGAAGCCTTGACAACCCTGGCTGATCTGGGAAGGAAACCCCAAAGTCCCCCTCAAGCCCATGTGACCACAGTTCACAGCATCTTCTGTCACAGAAGACAGGGTGAAAAATCAACACATTTCTGCCAAATAGCCTGATCTTGTCAGATCTGCATTTCCCAACAGCTAAGGGTCCCAGTGGAAAATATCCCATCGCCTCTACTGATAAAGTCACACTCATTTTGGGACATTATGAGAGTCAATGAGCTTGGTGAAACAAGAGGTTGGCAGTTACCTGTGAGGCAGGGTAATGAGTTAACCATCTTTCGATATGGACGGCATACCATCCGGGTGTCAGGCATCTCTTCTGGAGAGCCCTTATCTCCAAGGGTGCCCAATGGCTGGAAGTAATGACTTCATAAAAATTGAATTTCAGGGCAGCAGGGTCCTCATGGGATCGCTGGTGCTAACGAGAGATATTTAGATACATGTCACAGGGGTGCTGAAGATCAAGCTGCAAGTCTCCCGTGAGCTGTCAGGAGGGCTCTGCTGGCACCAGGTCCTCACTAGTGCCAGTTCTCCTGGCTAGGAGCAGGGGGACAAGGAAGCAGAGTGGGGCCAACATTCAGCCAAGGGAACCCTGGGACAGAAAGGAGGGGACTCGAGGAGCCAAATTCTGCCAGAATAGGCACAATTTTTTTTGCTGCTTTGTGTCTTGCTTCAGCAGTTTTAAAGGTGCAAATGAGATATTAAAAAGGGTGCAAACTGCAGCCCCAGGTCATGCTTTACACCATGCAGGACTCCCAATAACAGTATCAGAAATGATGTCTTTTATGCTCACTGCAACTTTATTATTTATGTCTGTTTTAACACTGGTTGTAGTATTTTCTTTATCTGTATGACTGGACCATATTTTACACACATGCTTAAATGTCTCTTTAAAAATAGTTATTTTTTTTTTTAAATAGTGCAGACTTTGTTATGGAGAGGTGTGTGCTCAGTAAAGGGCAAGAAAGAGCATCCTAGAGTTTCCTCAGGAAAACAACAGGATTTCTTGTTTTCCAAGGAGAGAAAAAACCAACCCATCTCTCCAGACACAGCTTTTTTTAACTCCTTGGAAACTTTAGAAGGCACTTCACACATTTGTGCACCACCATGTAGCTCAGCATGTGCTCAGCTTACATGCTAGAGGAGGGGATGAGGTACCGGATTCCCAGCATCAAGAGCTCTGATTTTCTAGCTAGGCCATGCTCATTTCCCCCTGTGTATCTCCCTGGACGAGGAGATACTGCTGCACTGCTTTTCCTCTACGCAATGTCAGCTGTAATGGAGATTAAACTGTTTGTTTACAGCTGGTGGCTCCTCTGTGCTGAGAAGTTTCATCATTTATGACACTAGTGTCACAGGTGCCAACTGCCAAAGCTGGCATTCTGGATCCTTCCACTTCTACACAGTACAAATGCTTTGCAATAAATCCCCCTCTTGCTCAAGGACACAAATTCCCACTGGTTTTGGCCATCGTCCCTTGCCATTGATATCACGGGCTGTTTCTTGGAAGCAAGATCCGCACCTGGTACCAGGAATATGCCCGATCAGAGGGGTCGATGAGGATGGTGATGATCTTGGCCTTGGGAATGAGGGAAGCAGCTCGTTTGGGGGCTTCCTCAGAATGGAAATAGTTGGCACTTTTCTCAAAGAGGAGGTCAGTGGTGATGTTGGAAGGAGTAGGGAAGAAATCCATGTACCTGGGAGTTGAAGAAACTTGTTAGAATTAGCAGTAGCACAAAAGGGTCATATTGCCCATCGTGGTAGGTGAAAAGGTGAATTTTCAGACATAACTCTCAAAAAGCAAAATTGAATTTCTCAGCTCACTCCAGAGATGGAATAGGGAGAACATATCTTGACTCTTACACGGTGCTGGTAATAGCTAAATCCTCCATGAAGTCAGGTAATTAGGTTTTTCCTTTGATGGATGGGATTTTTGCTAATAAGTTCAATGTCAGAGGGATATCTTTCACCAGTTTGGAGTGAGTTCAGTTTTAGCTTCACTAAAAATGGGAAAACCTTCAAAATGTCAACCATTTAATTTTAACATTGTTGCAGTATTTCATTTTGGAACTGACATACCTTTTCTTTTAGACGTTTTTGGAATGCAAGTTTTGAATTTTGGCTTTGTAATCGTCTTTTCCACTTTAAATCGATCTGAAGTAGATAGCAGGTAAAACAGAAGGTTCAACTGAAAGGCTGAAGAATTCAAATGAAGCAGAAGGTGAAATTGTTTTGGAGGCGTTTTGGGGTCCCTTTAGTTTTGCTGAGCCCTACATGAACTTCAGTTTTGGTGCAGCCAAGTGGTTTTTTTTTTGGCCTTTCTATGGAAACAAATTATGTGGGGACTGACCCTGTACATAGGACCCTACTGACTTTTGAACTTGCAGTCCAGTTTTGGTGAAGCATGGCAGAAGAGGTCTCCAAGAGATGAGACTTCCTCTACATTTGTGCAAAGGGCTAGAGAGGCAAGACCCCCTCTGTCACCACTCCTTTTTTCACCAAATGTACTTTTTTCATCATGTACTCTGAGGTAGCCACAGATGATCTCTTTCTTTATGCAGTAGATTTGCCAAGGATTTATTTCCATTTATTTTTGAGGGCTGGAACACCTCTCCTATGAAGAAAGGCTCAGAGATTTGGGGTTGTTCAGCCTGTAGAAGCGAAGGCTCTGGGAAGACCTTATTGTGGCTTTTCAATACTTGAAGAGGTTCTAAAAGGAAGATGGGGACAGTCTTTTTAGCACAGCCTGTTGTGTCAGGAAAACGGGTGATGGTTTTAAACTAATAGATGGGAGATTTAGACTAGATATAAGGAAGAGAGGGTGGTGAGAGATTGGTCCAGGTTGCCCAGAGAGGTGGTCAATGCCCCATCACTGGAAACATCCTAGGTCAGGTTGGACAGGGCTCTGAGCAACCTGATCTGACTGAATATGTCCCTGCTCAGTGCAGGGGAGTTGGACTAAATGACCTTTAAAGGTCCCTTCCAACCCCCAAAATTCTAAGGTTCTATGACTCTAGGATTTTTTATGACCCCTTGAGACAAGAAGCTGGTCTCATGATTGCATGGCCAGCCTGCTTTTATCGGCCAGCCTTGTTTGCTGTGCATGCTCCCCATGCCCTGCGTGGGCAAGAGAAACCACTCGAGATTAATCCCTTTCTGTGTGGTGTGATGTTTGTCTTACACATCAGCTTTCACACAAGGATAAGAACTGCTGTTCCCTGTGGAAACAAAAGCCTTAGAAAAATGCTTATCTTAAACAAAAAAAGTAAAAGTAATTTTTAAAATTTTGATACGAATACCAGCTGAAATGCTTTACAGTGGTTTTTTTTTTTTTTTTTTTTTTTTTCCTCAACCAGAGACAAATCAAATCTTACTTCATGAAAAGCTGCTTTTGAAAAAAAGGAGGATAATTCAGTATAGATACAGTTATGAAAAGACAGAGGTGCTATTCAGCACAAAGACAGACATCATAACTGAGCTGGCTATTGTACTCATTTGTGAGAAAAATGAGGAAATTGTTACTGTAGTATCTAAACAAAAGTAAGGACTTGATTAAATGTGCCATCATTCCAAATTAGTTTCTCTTTCTGTCTGATAACATCAAGGATAATGAATTCATCCAGAAATGGTGTTGGTGTCATACATGCTTCTGTAATTGTTCCATTGTGATTTACCATATATTAATAATGAACATTTCTTTTTTGTTATTCTTACCAGTCAATTCCCTTGTGGTAGTTGTTTCCATTGAAGAACTGAACTTCTTCAAAAGTTTTTGGACTAGGGAGGTTACTGATAATGGAAGGATGCATCAGAAGAAATAAATAAAGTGCTGTTGTTCCTACAGCAACAAGAAGAGATGCCATTAGGAAATAAAAAAAAAAAAAAAACCTTTGACTTTATTCATTCAGGAACGTGCTTTAAATCAATGCACGCTGAGATATACAGGAAAATCAGATTACCTTTCATAAGAAAGTTGCCTGTTGATGGGAGACCTGTGTAAGCTTTCAAGGTGAGAGGGCAATATGTGCAGACTTCTCTGCTCATCCAGCTTCTCCCATCTCCAGACTCTGGGTTCTGCTCTCTGCCACAAGCATGGTATCACTGTTGATGACATTGCTTGCTTGCCTGTCTATTTAACCAGTGAGGGAATTTGGCTTGAACACGTTTTATGTTGCCTAAAGCTTTTCAAAAGCACTAATTGTGGGATTATGCTTTTATTGATCCCAGAACTGTCCTCTGTCTATTTTTCCTGGGGGTCTGCTATTGAGGAACAAATTGTCTCTTTCAACGCTAACAAACCCGTGTGCTTTAAAATCCCACTAACAGTATTTTCTTGTTATTTGTTTGACAAAAACAACTGGAAATGATATATGGTGGTAAACAGAATTTTGGAGAATGTGTCTTTAACCTTGCTCTTCAGTGATTTGATGCTATGCGCGCTATCACTGGGCTATGAATCAAGACCTGCTGTCTGCTTGTCACAGTAGCAGTATTTCTGTACAATCTTGGGTTAGTCACTTCTCCCCCTGCCTCAGCATCCACTTTCTGCAGTATGTCCACAACAGTAATAGCTTTTTGTGACTCTGAATATGTGCCTTAATTCAAATAATGCCCTGAGATGCTCAGAGGTCTGCAAGGTGGGAAATACATTTATTGTCAATCAGGGTCTCAAACAATATTGAAACAATTTGTCAAAAAACGTAATAACGAACTTACACAGGGAAGTTTAACAGTATGGTGGTTTGGTTTTTTTTTTCATGGTGAGTGAATGCAGTTTTGCTACACAAACGGTTTGCTCTGTTTGTTGGCAGTGAAGGAGATCCAATTTGGATGGGACAAGGGGTAATGGCTTTAAACTGAAAGAAGGAAGATTTAGATGTAAGGATGAAATTCTTCACTGTGAAGATGGTGAGACACTGGAACAAGTTGTCCCCTTCCTGGAAGCATTCAAGGCCAGGTTGGATGGGGCTTTAAGCAACCTGGTCTAGTGGAAGGTGTTTCAGCCCATGGCAGGGGGAGGTTGGAACTACATGATCCTGAAAGTCCCTTCCAAACCAAAACGTTCCATGATTTTATGATTCTATGATCTGAATCCCATAGGGATCAGGAGTGCACCATCTCTAGAGCAGGGAGCTGGCTTCAGTTTGCAGGACACAAATACACAGATACAAACCCAGGGTCTAGCTTCAGTTACAAACTCATTACTTCTTACCTGTCTTTTGGGGTCCTATCACGAGAAATTTGGGTAGGTGGTCACAAGTCTTGTCTTTGGACCAAATGTCCCTGTGTCGTTTATCATCACACGGGTTCTGAAGAAGAGAAGGAGGCTGTGTACATCACACATACATTTAGGTATGCTAAATGTCTGCATGCACGCGAGTCTTTGCAAGATCTAAATATTACAGACTAACACTAGAGCCTTACACTAAGTAGTAAAATTCCACATTTCCTCCTAAGAGTTTATTCTTGACAGATATTGAACACTCTGGTAGAGATCCATGGGAGCATTCAGGTACACAGCGATCAAACTCCTGGGTATCCTTCAGGACCAGTTCTCCCAGGGATCCCAGTGAGGTCAGTAGCACTACACAGTTGTGCAAATCCTGGAAGGATTGGTGTTAAAATCCATACCCTGTGAGAGCACTGCATTGCCACTTCTCCATTAGTCAGGCTCATTTCATAAACTCAGAGCCTGTGGGCACGTATGTGGTCCCTTTGACTAAAATTCAATATGTATATAATGGGTTTGCATGAGTGAGGATTAAGTTCAGTCATTAGGAAAAAAGAAAAGAAAAAGAAGAAAAAAAAGATTAAAACATTGATTTAATCAAATTTTCATTTGAGGTTAAAATGGAAACCTCTGTCAGAATAGCTTCAAGGCATTAGGTTCTAAGGTGACAAAATGGTTTCAGATGCATAAGAGTTAGTGCCAATTTTAATTTACATAAGAACCTAAAAGGAAGGACAAAATAGAAATGTGGGATATTCTTCATCTCCGTATCTTTCTACCGCCTATGAATGCAAAATAAAAATGTGTGAACAAAAGACCCAACAGAAAAGGTTAGGATTGACTGCTCTGTAAAGCAGTTATCATATAGATGCTGCTATTGACTAGTAGTGGCTGGTAATAGAGAATACAGTTTATTAGTGAATAAAGTTAACAAAATATAATGGAGAAAATCATTAACTACTGTGAATCGCTGCAGCTCTATGAGACTCAGTTTAGGAAATATTACAGATCTATACTTTTTTTGCATGTGAGCCAGAAATAAGAGGGAAATTTTCTGCTCCTCTTTGCAGCGTAAGCCTGAAATAACTGCCCAGACCTATGTGGTGTCACTCTGGATTTATGCCTTCACAGCTAAAAGCACAGCTTGGCACATCATATTCTGAATAAGAGAAGAGCCAGATATGTGCAGCAATGATTAGGAAATTACAGTGTGGAGATTACAAGCAGCACTATTGTGTGCTTGAAACAGAGGCAAAAAATAGTCTGACTACAGAGATGGGCTGAGGGGCAGTTAATCCATCCCTACTCAAAAAGTAGTGGGCCCCCAAGACAACTTTAAATAATCTAAGGTGGTGTGCAGGAAGAAATAATGTACCTAAATGTGTAGTAGGATTTTTGTTATTTACTTTTTTTTATTGCAGGAAAAGATTCTTATTTCAACAAGCAACTTGTAATTGGAGGAAGAAGAGGATGTGACGTTACCTGCCAAAGAGGGTCTGTCTGCTCTGGGAAGAGCTCAAAGTACTTCTGAGCCAGTTGAACTGGGGGCAGGGTCTGCAGCCTCAAGTTAGTCGAGCTCTTAACAAAGCTGGCCAGGTTGGCAAAGGTGTATAAACCCAGGCGGTCGTTCCCGTAATTAGACAAATGGGTCATGAAGATGCTGATCTGGGAGGCAAGAGAAACTTTTCAGTTGCAGGACTTCAGGAGATGGAAGCATCTGTCTGGAAGAGCAGGCTCAGAGGCTTTGCCAAACTCCCCCTACCCAACCCCAAAAAAGACAATGAAAATGTTAAATTAGTTGCACTTCCTAGTCCCCCTGTGAGGTCCGAGTCTCCAAACCTATCACGTATGTAGCCTTTCTTTAAAGTCCCTTCTCTGAAGAGTTGTATCACTCCTGGGCTTCCCAGGGGTGAGCCTTCAGACATTTTTTTTTTCTTCTGTTTTCACTTCTTTTTACAAACAATGTAAAATTTGTTTCTTGCATGTCTCCTGTTTACTCCACTGCTCCTCATCCCTGGGCAGGTGTCCAGGAGGTGCTGACATATGTGACCCCTCAGTTAGGAGTCCCCAACACCCCAGAACCTCTGAGAAAGGCAGCTCTCCACTCCTCAGATGTGTAGACAAAGCTTAGTTTCAGGGCTGCTATTTATGGAATTAATGTGAAAATCTGACTAATATGTCCTCTGAATGCAGGGTGGATACTTTGTTTAAAATGACGTAGCTGCAAGGAGGTGAAATGGTTGTGAAATGTAAAAAATTCAAACCTTAGTGATATCTCAGCTAAATATCATTGTTGTCGTTTCCTCCTGAAAGCAAATAAAACTACCTTTTTATTAGCCTTAGTATGGTTCTCCTTTGCATGGGCACTGCTTTGTAGATCTCATAATTTCTTTCAGGGGCATAAAAAGAATTTGTAAGAATAATGTGAAGAATATATTTTGCAGTATTTTCTTTATATGAGGTGATCAAACTTAGTTTTGCAGACGCAAAGGCCTGCTTTATCTGTAGATTGCCATTATTTAGTTTTATGAAGATTTTATCAAACTGAGTGTGTTACTTTGACTGTTTTACTCAGTACAGTGGCCTAAGATAGGACGGGCAATGCCAGTGGCCTTAATTACGCTGTTATCAAGAAATAACACACTAGTGGTAACTCAACAGGGCGTATTTCTCTTCTTTTTCAGCACGATCTCTGAAGTTGACAATCAATAACATACAGGAGATGGCAAAAAGCACAAATGAACTAACACAACCACAGCAGTTATGGAGAGTGGCATGTCAAGCAGTGCACTTCTTAATAATGTTATCATGCTTCAAGGAGGTCTTGACACAAAGTAAAAATTAGAGGTATAATGCTGGTTACAGCCAAGTCCAGAATATGATGGTGGGAAGTTTAGTAGTTTGCTGTCCTGCTGGAAGTTTCTGGAAGAGGCAAATAAATCCTCACCTTTCTGGAACCCACAAGCAGTGAGGTGTTCACTGTAAGGTTGGATGGGGTTCAGAGAAGGGCCAAAGGTCAGCAGTTAGACCTCCCAGCCTTTTTGTGCCTGGTTTTGGTTAGCAAGCTGGTTTGCCTAACAACTGGCATGAGCAATAGCCAGCCTGCTCAGCCACTTGTGAGGATGTAGGTCTGTAGGCAGGGCTCAGGGTGTAAGTGAAGCATATTTTGGGGTCTGAAGCACCTGATTCTGAAGAGGTTGATCGTCAGCAGTGAGGACACCTGGTTTACAGGTAAATTGCTTGCTTTGCAGGTAGATGACATCCAGGTGAGTCTCTTTTTGCATGATAAGGAATGGGAACTGACAGCACAATTGGGGGCTGTGCTTATAAAGTGATGTGCAGGAGAAGCGACAGCATGTGGACCTTACTTCTTTGAGAGCAGGAGACCTAGGGCATCAGAAACATGCATATGTGCTCTGGTCAGTAAGTTGTGTGGATTTTTTTTTCCCTCTTCTGTGTCTTGAGGAAAGCTGAATGTAGTTTGAGTCATGCCTTACACAACCCAGATGGGGAGGACAATGTTTTGAGTCAGAATGAAAGGTTGGAAAGGACCTCAAGGATCATCTGTTCCAACCTTTCAAAGGTTTAGGCTGCGGTCCTTCAAAGCCTGAAGTGTACATTAAATATGCTGCAGACATTAAGGTGTATGCTGTCCTTCCTGGGTGTAGGCTGTGCCTGGGAAAAGTGGTGGGCTGTCCTGGCACCCTGGTCCCTGAGATATAGCCCGGGAAACAAGTCTCAGCTGGGTAGTAACCAGGCTCCTCAGCAGCTAAACTGGTGGCAAGTGCTCAGTCTCAAAACTTGGCACCTTCATGCCTCAAATGGTTGCAAAATACCCAGGGGTGTCTCAGGAAGGTTGTTATCATGGATCCATGTGACTTGGTCCTGCTGACTGTAAAGAGCACTCCAAAACAAACTGCTGCTACCTTCTGAAGATGAAGTTTGCTGGTTTGTGGTCTCAGGCTTGAACTCTAGCAGAAGAAAGTACTACTGAAAAAAATTGTGTCTGTAGCACACCGTTCTGTCGTGACTTTCCAAATAACCACAGAATATAAGCCACAAGCCTTCCACTTTCACCACCTTGCTCTGCTAAGGTGGTGCCTCTTTAAGCATGAGCCCGCAATGTTTAAAAACATGTCCATTAGTTTGTTAAATTATTGATAAAGCTTTTAGTACTTCTAGAAGGTTAAGATGGATGGAGCTTAGGAGAAAGTGTCCCTTATGGCCTATCTGCAGCATGTTTGTGCTGTGCTCACTTTATTCCACAAAAGGTCATTTGGTCTTCACTTCTGTTCTGAGCTTCTTGTTGAGCAAAGATTGACAGCTGCACAAGATCTTTTTTACGTTGGCTTGACTTGGAGGATTCTGCTGCCTATGCATTTTATCACCGATAGTGTTTGACTATGGAGAGAATGCTAAAATTGCCCTGAACTTTGCACATGTCCATCTGTAGTATCCCAGAAACCTGTATGCAAGGTAATGAGTTGTCTTCTTTGGGTTTCCAGCCTCCTGACCTGCCCCCTAAAAAAAAAAAAAACCAACACAAACATATCTTTTCTAGTTTAGAGTTCAGCTCCTCCAAATGTGACGAGTGCTTCCTGTGAACTATTTTCAAATGATGAAAAGGAAAACACTTATAGGAAATGTTGATAGAGAATATCATCTTATCTCTGAAGTGTTTTTGGATAAGTGCTAAAGGCCCTGTCAATGACATTTAATATTACTGCAGCAATTTAATATTATTGCAGCAAATAAAGTATGCAAGTAAAGCTACTTGCTCTTTTTACACTTGAATATGAATGAGGGTTTTTTAATGTAAGAAGATGCTTATAGGAATTAGTTATTAGCTTATTTTAAGATTTTCATTAGGCTGCAGTCCAATCGAAAAGATCCAATTGATAACTCTTTATGGAATCAAAAGATCTCGGACATCTCTCTTGAATTTTCTTGCTCCATTGATCTCTTTTTGAAGTGAGAAAAAGATGAAATATGACGCATTATACATAGGATAAAACCACATCTAATTCTTTGCTGTTTATCTCCAAATCAGCAGAGACAAAAGGAGATGGGTATTAATTGTTCATGTTTGCAGCATAGATGGATGTAGAAGTTTGTTTGCATGCTGCTGCATCAATCCACAGAAAATGCAAAATCCTGGACCTGTAAGGAGCTGGCATAATGCTGCTGGGTGCCTTGAGGCTTCTGCTGGATACACAGTGTTGTCACACTGCTTTGATGGGCTGCTTTGGTGGGCCCAAAAAGACTTCAAAACTAGACTTGAGGGCAGAAGTGGGGGGGGAAAAAAGCAAGGACATTCCCTTCTTTGGCAATTTAGGTCTCCCTTTGTCCCCCTTGCTGTGGTCACTCATGTTTGCAGAGGCATGAAGAGGAAAGAATGCTTAAGGTATAGGTAGGAAAACTTTTTTGCTTTCTTCTCTCTTTCTGCCACGCATCCTTTGAACCAGATCTCAGCTGCTTCCTCCCTCTCATACCCCGTGTTTTTCTAAAAATCACTTTATTTTTTGCACAGTCAGCTTCCATTTTTTAACAGAAATGTTAAGTGTTGTTTTTTGTTTTTTGTTTTTTTTTTAACCCCTCGTTTTATTGTAAGAAACATCTAGAGGTTTATAGCTATGGCTTTCAAAGACCTGCCTAAAACCAGAGAATTCTGAGGTTTACATTTTGCTGGTGACAAAACTGAAGCACAGAAGGATAGTGTGATTTCTGGAGAATCAAACTCCTGCAGGGGAGCCTGCTTCTGGGTCAGCCTACCCTACTTAGGGTGACCCATAGAGTACTTCCAGGAACATCTTATTTCTTATTCATAGCTGTATTAAGTGGGAATGAATGGAGAGCTATGGTTCACAGACTGTTGAAATTCTGAGTTTACTATTATAATGGGCTTTTTTCCTCCTGCTGGTTTGGGGTTTGTTTGTTTGCTTTGGTTTTTTTTTTTTTTTTTTTTTTTTTTTTTTTTTTTTTTTTTTTTTTTTTTTTTTTTTTTTTTTTTTTTTTTTTTCCCAGCACAGTATAAACAGTCTGGAAATGGAAATTGCAGACAATTAGACAATTTTGGACTTGTTGGAAAGAAGGAGGTGGGAGGAGAACAGTGGTCTGAAATTTCTCAGACCACCTGTGCAGTTAGTATGCAATTCTGGTTGATAAATCTTATTATTACCTTTAGGCTGAGTGGGCAGGGGGAAAGAAAGTGTATTTGACACTGACAGAATCCATGAGTAGCCATACCCTGCATCTGGCTATTTACGAACTCCTCTCCTCCTAAACAGTAATGATGTTTGGTTAATGTTTGGTTAACAAACCTGAACTAGTCACACCCAGAATATGAGATGGTTTGTACATGGATCACAGCACCGCCACACCATTTTACTATCTGGGTTTTGTTTCCAGGGCTATTTAAATTCAGTTATATCTGGAAATTATAGATGCACAGCATATTCTCTTCATATAATATTTTATATACATGCATACGTTATAGATGTAAAATGAAATCTAGATTAGCTAGTAGAGAAAAATAAAGGGATTGTTTCAAAATTATTGGCATATAACCATGCTAGATCTCTCTGAAGTGCCCCAAAACTGCATCATGTACTCAGAGTTAGTGTTTTCTGCAGATGCACAGCCCTCTGTAGCTATTAATGCAGAATAAAGAGGTTTAAATCCT